GGTGTGGTTTGGGCTTTGCTTCTGTGAAGATTGACAGCATGGACCCTGTGGGGCAGTCTGGATATTAATGAACATGTCACCAAACTTGTAAAAAATCACCCAAGAAGATGACTCACGGGTACAAGTTTTCCAGATTTTACTGAAAGCCACAGGACACAGAATCTCCGTTAGGCAAGCCAAACAAATATGTCTGTTGGTCTCCCCAATAACAATGCTGTCTGAGCTATCGACTGCTGCTATAACAGGACCACAGGCAACGGATTTCACAAACAGGGATGTATCCTCTCACAGCTCAGGAGGCGACGCGTCTGAACTCGGGGACCCAGCTCTGGAGGGGCTCTCTCTCTCTGCTGTTCCAGTGGGAAGGGCCCTGTTACCAGCCTTCCCCTGAGTCCAAGCGTTGCCCGGCACAGAGACCCCAGGTCCAAACATGTGCTCCACTCCCGGCTCTTCTCCTTGTTGGCAGGTGGGCCCGACTCTCGGGGGACATCTCTTGTGTAAGATGAGAGGTGATGCGTGCCACCGCCCAGGGAGGTCCCCCTCACACAGGATCAGGGGAGCTGCATCCCACCCTAATCTCCTCGGAACTGACTGGCCCGCACATCACAGCACATCACAGGGGACAATGACATCATGACACGACTGCCAGCTACTGAGAATCATGGCCCAGCCTCAGGCTGACAGATGTTTTGGGGGGACACAGTTCAACCCACAACAAACGTACACAGGGACTTTCTCCAGGCCGCTCGGTGAGGAGAGTGGGAAGCGGTTGATGACTGAGGGCCTTGCTGGAAACCCGAACGGCCTATCATTCAGAGCGTGAAAGGCAAGGAGTGGCCCCTGGAATGTCTGACCCACTGTGTCGTGACACACGGGGTGTCCGCCCTGCCACTCCATGACACTACCGACAGTTCAGCTTCCCCGAAGGCATCCTGCCAGGGCCACTCCACCCTCCTCCATCAGCACCTCACTGTGTACTGAGGACGCCGCTGACTCCAGAGCAGAGCACGCTGTAAACGCCCACGGTCAGCCTTTTCTACTTTTCAGTGCAGCAGGGGTTGACTGGGTCATCGTTGGAGCTTCTTGGCAGACCGAATCATTAACAATTCCTAGCAGAAGGTCTTCATATTTCAGAGTAAACTACTACAAACCAACCAAACCACACCCACTGCTGTGGAGTCCATTCTGACCCACAGCGCCCCTAGAGGACAGAGT